AACAATCAGGTCAAATATGAATATTCGTTTGATTTTTATACTTGATTTATATGTGAATCCCACATATCTCCCTTTATTATTATTATTATTATTTCTATTTTTAATAAAATGCTGAAGTGGTAGGTAGATGCAAGATAAAGGTAGAAAACATAGTTTAGTGTTGTAAGAGGGCAAATGTAGATGATCAGGTGTGTGCCTGTAGACTATGTGCTAATCCAAGCTAGACAAGGGCAACAAAACATCCACGGATGCAGAAGATTTCTCTCAAAACAGGGGAGGGTGAGGTTCTAAGCCTCACCTCTGTTGATCCCCAATTTCTCACCTGATGGCCCCCCTGCGACTGTGTCTGTCTTAGGTTCCTCTACCCATTTTTTAATCAGTTTATTTGTTTGTTTGTTTTTGGTGTTGAGGCATATAAGTTCTTTATATATTTTGGATGTTAACTCTTGATTGGATAAATAATTCACAAATATTCTCCCACAATACAGGCTGCCTTTTTGTTTTGTAGATGGTTTCCTTTGCTGCACAGATGCTTTTTACTTTGAGGTAGTCCCACTTGTTTACTTTTGCTTTTGTTTCCATGGTCCAGGGAGATATGTCCAGAAAAAATTATACTTATGTTCAAGAGACTTTTGCCTATGTTTTCTTCTAAGAGTTTTATGGTTTCATGTCTTATATTTAGATCTTTAATCCACTAGAAGCTTACTTTGGTGTATGGAGTTAGACATTAATCCATTTCATTCTCTTGCATGTAGCTGTCCAGTTTTCCCAACACCATTTATTGAAGAGGCTGTCTTTTCCCAGTTGTATATTCTTGCCTCCTTTGTCATACGTTAATCGACCACATGTACTTGGGTTTATATCTGGGCTCTCTATTCTGTTCCACAGTTCTATGGGTCTGTTCTTGTGCCAGTACAATACTGTTTTGATTACTGCAGTTTTATAGTATAGCTTGCAGTCAGGGAGCATGATACCCCCAGTTTTATTCTTTTCTTAAATATTGCTTTGACCAGCAAACATCACTTTTAATGGTTTAAAAAAACAAAAGAAGCATTCCTTTTAGAATCAGGAAAAGTGATAATACCGTTGCTTTTGTTCAGCAGTGTACCAGGGCCCCTAACTGACAGAGTGAGACCAGAAAAAGATTTAAGTACAAAGATTGGAAGAGACAAAACTGTTGTCATGGACAGATAATCTGACTGTCCACATAAAAAGTCCCAAACACTCCACAGAAATAGAAAAACAAAACCACCACTCTATAATTAATGTGAGCACAGTAAGGTGGCTGGATAAGAATTAAATTCACTGAACTCAGTTGCGTTGCTATACACCAGAAGTGGTTAGGAAAAAATAACTGTAAGGACAGATGAATAGTGATAAGGGTCAGAGTAGTGATTATCTTTGGGGGTTGCTCACTGGGAGGGAGCACTATAGAGCCTTCTGGGTATTGGAAGGCTCTCATCGTCTTCTGTATGGTGATTATGGAGAGGAAATTGCATACGTACAAAGTCACTGAGCTTATACTTAAGCTTTGTGTGCTTTATTATGTATGTTAAAGTAAACATCAAAAATTGAAATTTTCAAAATGTAACCAAATTAAACCATTTGAAATGGCAACAAAAATGTATGGCACTTACGAATACAGCAGTCCTCACTTCTCCACGGTTTTGTTTTCCAAGGTTTCAGTTACCCACACCCAACTACCATCTGGGAGCAGATGATCCTCCTTCTGACTTAAAATCAGGTCAGGGGTAGCCCAGCACTATGCCACCATGCCCACATCACTCACCTCACTTTGTCTCATCATGTAGGTGTTTTATCATCTCCAAGCGTGCACTTGCTCTCTGTGTGAAATTGTGAGGAAAACAGTGGAAAGGAAAGTATCGGAGCAGAGCTAGCGTGCAAGACCGTAAAGACAAGGGAAGATGCTCTGAAAACAAGAGAAACAAAAACAAAACAAAACAAAACCAAAAACCCTGTCTTTAACAGAACATGCAGCCCATGATGAGCATTAATGTGAACATGTATGAAACTCCATGAGACAGGTTGTCCCTTGAAAGTTCTTCCTTTAGTTTCTGGCTCATCTTTACATCACAAAAGGCCTGTTTCCACATGGTCCCTGGCAAAGCACTATTCAGAAGTTGTTGTTTTTTTTTGCCATTTAATCACTTATTGCATGACAGGTATGACTCAGTTTGGTCCCTTAATCACTTTATTCTCGAAAAGCTATTCTGAACTTCCCTGATAGGGTCAGTAAATTATGCCGGTTTATACATTTTTCTGGAGACAACGTTTATAACTCTCAAAAATGTTCAAAGGGGTTCGTGGCCACAGAGAAACCAACTGTTAGGCAGGAAAACAGATATGAGCCGGGTATGAAAAGAATAAGGCCAGTAAAGCCCACCAGAAGGGACTCAAAGAGTTAACCAGTTAAAAATAGAAAGCTCAAAGGCCAGGAGCAACTTGGCCTAGGAGTTTGAATGCTCCCCAGATGGAGAAAAGTATCTCAGCATAGCCTATGTTTTCACTGTGCCACTTAGAACATACCGTTCTAAGATTTCGTTTAGCACCTGCTCAAAGGCCCAGCTTATTCAGGAAGAATTCTATCTTAAAGCGAAGATTGCATTTTAATCAAACGGATGGTGGCTCAGCCCCCACTGGAGGCAAGGCACACGTCTTGATTGATTTGCTTACAGACAGAAGCTGATTACCCTGGAAAGGAATCAAAGCAGCATATTTCTTGTGTTAAGTTAAAAAAAGAAAGAAAGAAACAATGTCTTAACAAATATGAACATTCTGGGGCAATCTGGCTGTTCCGCACGTGGCCCTGTGTCGCATTCCTGAAAATCTGCAACCGCCTAGCCTATAAACCCGAGACCCTAAAACCTTAGGTGCGCGCCTCTCTCTGAGGTCGCCTGCACTTTCCAAGTGTGTAGCCTCACAGCCCCCTTTCTCCAAGCGTGCACTTGCTCTTTTCAAATAAAACAAACTTTTCAGGGTGCCTCTCCTGTCTGAGATCGCCAGCACTTTTTCTCTTTAAGTAACTTTAAATAAAACTTCTCCTCTGCTTCACTACTGTCTCTGCCCTTCAACTCTTTGTTGCGGCGGGGACAAGGACCGAGGAGCAGACACCACGCTCCCGCAGCACAATGGCTAACGGGTTGAGACAAACTCCAGCCACGTGGGGACACGTGGCGCGTCCTGGCCGCGCAGCTCCTGCCAGCCCCCCGGCCAGTCCTCCGAGCCCCGATGTCCACCAGGGGCCGCTGCGCCGGCGCAGCCGCTCCCGAGCGCACCGCGAGTCCCTCTCTCGTCGCGCCGGCGCCAACGGAAGGGGCGGGGCCTGGAGGCCAGCGGGCGGCTCGCCGCGGGGAGGGGCGGGAGGAGCGGCCCCGACCTTCAGGTAACTGCGCCCCCGCCCGGCGCGCCGCGCCCCCGGCCCGCGCCCCCTCTGCGGCTTCACGCGCGCGCGCGCGCGTCTCGGCCCCGCCCGCGCTCCCGCCAGACCGCGCGCGTCCTCCGTGGCGTGCCCGGGCCGCGCCAGCCGCGGACGCCCGAGGTCCCGGGGGCTGCAGGGTCCGAGGGGGCCCGGTGGCCACGGCCGTCCTCCCCTGGGCCCGGCCGCCGCGCTGGCTGCGACGCGGAGGGAGCCCGCGGACGCGGGTGTCCAGTGTCCCTGACCTTGGGGGACCGGGAAGGTGCGCAGCTCGGGGGGTGGGGAGCGCCCTGCAGCAGCAGCAGGGCGCCGAGGCCTCCCGGAGAAGGGCCGCCCGTCCCCGCAGCAGAGCTGAAGGCGCCCAGCCCGGGCCTCCCAGCGCAGCGCTGGACGCGCTCGGGCCCGGGGGCCGCTCCCAGTGTCGCAGTTCCGCGACGCCGGGGCTTCTGCCCGCACGTGGCCTCTCCCGCAGCCTCCGTTGGTTCACAGACCTGAAGGTCTCACCCGGAGCCACCTCGGGGCCCCCTGCTGCGGTCACCCCCCTGTTCACATCACTCCAAAGAACTCTGTCACTTCCCTGCCCGAGGACTTCCCACGGTTCAGGCCCGCTGGCTCAAGTCCAGACTTGGATAGGCACGGCCTTTGGATGCCCAGCCTTTTGCCTTTCAGTCCAGCGCCGTCTGTGTTCTTTGTGGGCTCGTTCTGGTGCTCCAGTTCTCCTGATCGGCCTTTCATTCCGCAGTATTTAAGCACCCCGTGTGCTGGGCACGATTCTAGGCGCTTGGGATTCCGCGGAGGAAAAGGTACAGGGGAGGCTGCATTGAGGTGACGTCTGAGCTGAGCTGAAGATGAGTTATATGCAGATGCCTGGGGTAAGAGTTCCAGCCTCAGAACAAAGGACCTACCCAGACGTGTGCCTGTTTCGTGAGGACCATCAAGAATGCACCGGAGTGGGCAAAGCGGAAGGTGGCAGGAGATGGGCGGGTCCGGTTGCGCAGAGCCTGCAGGCTACAGCGGGAACCTTGCCATTCTCAGTGTTTTTCTAGGAGTGACCCGGTAGAAACTACTTTTTGAAGGAATTGCTGCGTGCTCTGTGGAAAACAGACTGCCAGAGCCTCAGTCTAATTTGGTGGTAGATGATGATGGCCTGCGTAGCAGTGGAAGTTGTGAGAAGTGGTGGGGTGTGGGGCATGTTTTGAAGACACAGCCAACATGGTTTCCTGACATGATGGATATGGGTATGAGGGAAAGAGTCAGTGACTGGAAGCTTCTGGTCTCAGCAGCTAGAAGCGTGGAGTTACCATTTGTGGAGATTGGGAAGGCCACGGGTGGCACAGATTTGGCGTTGGGGCTGTATCAGGAGTTTATTTTTGGACCAGTAAGCCTGCAGGTGCCTGTTAAGCATCCAGACGGAGATGTCAAATAGGCAGTTGGGTATTGTGTGCGGGGGCCCCCAAGACCACCCCCGAGTTCATTGATTCCCTAGGAAGACTCAGCACGACTCAGCTGAGGGGCATGGCTGTGATTCGCTACAGCAAAAAGATACAAAGGACAGTCAGCAAGGGGAGAAGATGCTTGAGATGAAGTCGGGAGGCCACGGGCGCTCCTCCAAGCGTCTCCTCCCAGTGGAGTCACACAGGACGTGCTTAAAGCTCCAGCAACGAACAGTGACAACTTATGTGCAGTGTTGTCTATCAGAAGGGCTCTTTAGAGACTCAGTGCCCCGGGCTTTTCTTGGGATTTAGTCGCATAGGCACCCTGTCTACCTAGAGCTACCGGAATTCCAGACTCCCAGAAGGAGCACATGTACTCAGCACCAATCAGGTGCATGTTCAATGCAGTGAGCAGCTCCTGTAGTGTGGGGAGCAGTGAGGCTTCAAATCCCCTTTGCCCAGTGTCAGACAGAGGCCAGCCGGGCACGCAGGCCTTCCTGAGGATAGCAGCTTAGGTCGGCCACGTGAACTCTTCTGCCAGACATTCACATCTGGGATCTGGGAGAAAGGGCTGGCATGGAGGTACAGATTAGGGAATAGCTGGCATATTGGTGGTATTTAAAGCCAGGGAAACGGTCCGTGTCTTGAGACAGAGGTGAGCCGGATGGGATGAATGTGGAGGAGAAGATGCCCAGGGACGGAGCCCTGCAGCACCCCCAGCATTATGACATCGGGGGAGGAGGAGAGGCAGCCAGTGAGGCGGGAGAAGGACTGAGACGGGGCTGACCCAGAAGCCAGGGGGCAGAGGCGAGCGGCCAGCTGTTGCAGGTGCTGGGAGAAGCCAGATGAGATGAGGACCAGCAGATGACCTTGTGGATTTAGGGAACAAGGGGCCTGGGGAGAGCATGTACTGCCCTTTTGAGGAGCTTTGTCCTAAAGAGGAGCAAGGAAAGCGGCAGTAGCTGTGTGGGAGCAGGGGCAGGAGGGGGCTTGCCGGGCAGCTCCCCAAAGCTGTGTCAGGCCACCTTTGCCATCAGCCTCTGCTCAGGGGTCCCTGCCCTGGGCTGCCACCTGTACTGGGTCCAGACTCCTCTGGACTTCAGCTTTCACTACATTCTCTGACAGCCAGTTTACCTGCCCACATTCCATTTAAATATCAGTTCCATGAAGGCAAGTACTGTGTTTTTTATACCTAAGCCTAGCTGGCCACGTGGCATATGAGGCTGAGTGAATAGGGGGAGTGTGGTAATAGGGTGCTCATTTCATTTCTGGGAAACGAATCTCCCGAGTATTCACTGGGTTTGTACATGCTGAGCAGACTGGGGGTGGGAGTGAAGGGTGGGCACAGTTCTGCCCAGTCCCTACCCTGAAAGTTTGGGAGATAAGAATAGTACAAAAGACATACTGAACTGGTGCAACATGAATTTGGAAAGGGGCAGGGAAGGAAAGAAGGGGAGGGTGGATCTTGTGTGGAGCTTGGAAGACGGAGAACCCCTGTTAAAAGCACAGAAACTTTTTTTTTTCCAGTAGTAGCATCCTTTTCTCAAATACGAGGAACCCAGGATTCAGCAGCACTGCCTCTGGCCGAGGAAGCCCTGGGACCTGTCAGACCCCTGGCAGCCCCGCTCTGCCCGGCTTCAAAGCTCTGAGGCAGAGCCCGGACCCTCAGACCCCACTCCTGTGGCCCTGGATGTCCCCTGCTAATATCTACAACTGGTCATCATCTCCAGCAAAAATTAGGTTAATTTATTTTCTCAATTTCATGTTCATAAATTTTGTCTAAACTTCCAGTATTTACCAACATTTGCCTACAGGAGAGTGAAGTGGGCCACAGAGGGAGTGAGTAGCTAAGAAATACAAAGGTGATGCTTGGCTTGACATTTTCGTTGTGTTTATTCAATTGGCATGTGAGTGTGATTTTAAGTAGTTATTTTGTGCCAGTAAGTTTCCCAGGGAAGGTCAAATATCTATCTGTGATGTACTCAGAGAGCAGCATCATACCCAGGCCTCCCTCACAGGCAGCACTAGGGGGGAAGGCAGGCCTTTTGGGGGGAGAAGGTGGGGTCCAGGAGCTCACAGAGACGGGACTGCCCCCTGCACGAGGTCTCCTGGCGGCATTTCTTCTAAGTAGGGGCAGCAGTTCTCCCCCGCCTAGTTCTGAAACTCTCCGTTCGCTCTCTACTGTTGCAGTCTGGAAGTTAGTTTTTGTTCAAGAGAAAAGGAGAAACAAAGTGTCATGGTAAAGCAGAAAGAGCAGCGGACCTGGAGTCGGAGGCTGGTGGGCAGTTCAGTGTGGTGACAGGAGTCCAGCTCCGGATCCAGGGAGTCTGGGTTTGAACCCACTTAGTATCTGTGTGACCCTGAATGAGGTGGGCTTGCTGGGAGGAGTGAACTCTCACATGTAAAGCAGGGCCCAACACGTGGGAAACAGTAAGCGTCAAGCCTGTGTGGAGCCCTGGCCGACTCACTTGGTAGCTCTGTGACCGAGTGTGCTGTGCGTGTCCCAGGGCTCATCGGTGGCCTGTGCAGGTGCCCCTGAGGGCGTGAGTTGGGGTGGGATGTGCAGCCAGGTCCCAATACCCAAGGTGTGCTTACGGCCTCTGGCATTATACCTGATGGCAAAAAATAGGGGGCTGAAGTCACTTAGACCAGTGTTCTCAGCTCTTTAAATTGTTACCCACAGTGAATTTTACATGATGACCCAGTGTGCAGTTATAACAAAAGTTTCATAAAGCAGCGTTTACTCTTAGTATATGTGGTACACTGTAGTATTTTCTATACTTTTCTTCTCTAGTTCCTAAAAAGTAAAAATTTTAGTCATGGCTCATGACCCAGTTTGAGAGACACTGACCTAAGGTAGGCACGTCATCATCCTCTCCGTTCCGTGCCTGTCTTAGAAACCATTCTGAGCTGAGCGCAACAGCGGGTGCTGGTTTCAACCTGTGTCATTTCAGACATAATCTGGATAAATTATGGTACGTCTGGAATTTAGGCCCAACACAGAATTCATGAGGCTGAGGATCGAGAGCTCTGGCCATTATGGTCAACCTTCGTGTGTGTGGTGGGTGGGTGGGCTGGTATGAAAGGCTCTGCTTATGACTGCATTATTTTTCTTAAGATCTTTTTCATGGTGAGGAATACATGCAAGATGTTAACAGGTTGTTATCGAGTGGATTATGGGTAGTTTGAATTTTCTGTGTTTTTTCAAATTTTCTGTCATGAAAATGTACTTCCTAAATGATTATTGAAATTTTTCTTAAAAAAATATGGTAGTAATAATGGCAATTACTACTTTTAAACAATCCTTACTCGGCTAGCTAATGTCTCTTTACAGGGGGAAGGTGTAAAAGGAGGTAAAATGCAAGACTGCCAATTTGCTTATTCCAATCTCTGATTTGCTGGAGTTAGAGGTTGAAATAAAGTTTATACATTCACTCTGGTTTATGGAGTCATGACCTGATGTCCTTTCTTGGCAAAGTCAATTTGTAAGGATGTTAACATATGTCAGTAAACAGTCTTTCTCTCCATGAGATTTTCTTTTTTAAAATAAATCGTCAGGATCTGTTGTCAATATTGCTCAGTAGCAATCAGTGTCCGAGCTAATTCGGGGGGTGCAGAAGAGTAGAATCAGTGTTTTCTCACCTATTAGCATCCAGTTCAACCCTCATGACCACCTTGTGAGGTAAGCACATTTTTTACAACTAGAAGACACTCCATGGTACCGCATGTGGTGCTCGGCACATGCAGACAATATGGCCTTTTGTAGGGGATGTAAGCACAGTACTAGAGAGTGTGCATGGAATGTCTGCTTTCTGTTGTAGGAAAGCCAGGATGCTTCACTGTAAAATAAAACCGGGCTGCTGTCTGTTTCAGGCCCCGCGCACCATGGCCATGACTAGCGTCCGACTGCCTGCCGGTGTTCTAGGAAAGCCAGACGCCTGGACGGGGCTCTGGGCTCTGCTGCGAGGGATGCCTTCACCCAAGCTCGCCGTTTCCTGGAACCGATACTTATATTTTTCTAGTACCAAGTTAAATGCATCCAATTGTAAAGTACTTTTCCATAACATTTTCTCCCTGAGACTCCCAGGGCTTTTAATATCTCCAAAATATCTGTTCCCATTTTCCAAAAGACTCAAAAGTAATATAAGCTCTAAAAAATCCACTAAAAAGACTCTGCAGAAAGCTGAAGATGAAGAGGACTCCGATGAGGACAGGGACGGAGGTGAGGTGGGCCGGCAGGAGGGGGAGCTCCAGGAGGACCCCAGCGCCGCCAGGGACTATAAGGATCTGGAAACAGTAGTGCCGTCTTTCCGATATGACGTCGTCCTGAAGACAGGCCTTGCCGTTGGGAGGACGTAAGTAGACGTGTTGCAGTGCTGCTGAATCACTTGCCTTGTCGGTTGCTTTATGTGGCATTACCGGCCACGCAGCCCGTACCGTGGCAAAGAGCAGCCGCAGGTCAGGAGGGACCCTAGAGCTAACCTGTTCGGTTCTCCCCTAGAGATGAGAAAACTGTCTTCCAGAGATGCGACCGCCTGCAGATCCCATGTGCCCTGTTTGACCCTAAGGCGCGCTGACTAGGCTATAAGTGAACTATTGACTTAGTAACAGTTTCTTCTGGGGAAAAAGAATCACCATGTTAGATGTACATAGCAAGCCCACCGGCCCCGTGGGTTTGTTGAATGTTCTCTAGCATCGCGCCGACTCGTCGGGGCTCCCCCGCTTCCTGAGTCATGGCTGCTTCTGTTATTGTTAAGCAGAGCCCTAGACGTCAGTCACCGAGAGGCCGAGCGTCTGGAGGAGAGGGCGCTGAGTCTGGTCTGCCCCCGCTGGACTGGACTGGACTTTCCCCAGCCTCAGTGCAGACAGACGGTTTCTTGGTGGCTTCGCCATATCGGCAGAGAGCAGGGGTGTGAGGGGAAAGGGGTGCACACTCACGTGGCCCACCGAGGGCAGCAGCCACTGCACAGGGTGCAGAAGGAGGACCTGGGCCCTGTCCTGAAGGGTCCGTCTGAGTGCTGCCCCCCCGGAGAGCCCCGTCAGGGTCCGGGTAACTTGCCCTCTAGCGCTGGCAAAGCTTTGCACAGTTCCTCTCTTCAGAAGTGCCCCCTGATCACCTGTTTTAGATATGTAAGGGAGCCCCTGACGTGCACTTCCCAGTACCCAGAGTGGAGGTTTTATGGGGAGGCTGGTCCCTGTCAGGATAAGCTTTAAAGGCAAGTGTTTTTCTCAAATGTGTATAATTGTTTTGAATGTATTTCTATTACAAAACATTCTGACTTTTTTTTAAGCCAAGTGGAAGATGCATTCTACAAAGGTGAACTCAGGCTGAATGGGGAGAAATTATGGAAGAAAAGCAGAACGGTGAGATATTGTGACGTGCCTTTTGTCTGTTGCTCTGCCAGTACTCAGTTAACGCCACTCCAGTTTCCCATGGGGCTCAGTACCTGGGGGTCAGTGGCTCCTTGGGCACGTCTGTGTCACCCTCTCCGGGGTTTCCTGTGGGCCTGGTCAAGCCAGCGTCAGTCACACAGCCACTTGCTCTTTCATAGCCTTAATGACTTTGAAATGAAGCTTCTTTCTCTTTAAAAATTTAAGACAAGCCACTATCAGAATGGCAAAAATCTATTAATGAAACTTGCAGGTCATTAATGTTAGCCCCCATGAAATCATAATAATTAGGCCAAAAAGAAACTTGATCCATGTACGGGTTTCTTCAGCCTGCAGTTACCTGAGCAAGTGAGTATTTCTGCTCTGCTCAGCACCACGCCACCCAGCACGGGCTGGACGGCTGCTCTGCGTGCAGGGCGGCCACGCGAAAGGAGGCCCCACGTTTTCTGGCAGGTTCATGTCAGTGCTGTTGTTAAGTGAAAGAAGTCAGTTATAAGAAAATGTATTTCTTTTTCAATCCAATTAGAATGTAACAATCCAGGGTTGTTAAAATAATTCATATATATAAAATCTCTGTTAAAATTAAGTATTTTTGTAAAAATTAATAGCACACAAAATATTAATATTACTAGCATTTATCTTCAGGACATTATGAGTTACAGTTTCTTCATGCTTTTTATTTTCTGAATTTTTTACGGGCATGTATCACTTTCATAATTGGAAAAAACAAACCACAGTAAAAAAAGTGTATGACAGAGACCCTTAAAATGTTAGGGAGACACAGACAGACATGTGGACATCAGCAGACATACTCTGCCAACATAGAGAACTGGTGTCCAGGGAAGTAGGACACACTCTTGGGGGTTGTGTTTAAGCTGCTTTCATGACACCCCTGGGGCTGGAGGAGCTGAGCCGCATCCAGTCCCGGGACACAGGAGGGTGTGACCCGTCGGCCACGGGCCTGGGTGAGCTCTGAGGCTTTCCTGAGACCCGTGCCCCTGGGGTCCTGGAGCTTCTCGCAGCCATGTGTGTGGGGCGGGGGCTCCGCAGCGCTTCTCCCAGCCACCAGGGCGCAGGCCCCCAGCCCCCTCTGACAGCCCCTGACCCGGTGTGTCCAGCTGCAGCAGGCGGCCACTGCTGCCCGAGCTGCAGGGTCAGGCCCTCCAGCCAGGCATCTGGACACCAGGCCCTTCTGGGCCCTTAATTGCTTTTCCTGCTTGTAGCCCTGCCTGCCCCTCGTCCCCGCAGAGCTGCAAAGACACCTGCCCAGGGGCCCGAGGTCTCTGTGCCAGAGCCTCAGTCATGAGCACTGCAGGTCTGCGCTCCTCCCCCTGCTTCGAGACACTCAACCACAGCCTAGTCGCTGCTGCTTCCTTCTGCCTGGGGTGTTCTGTTCTCTCGGCTGCCTTCCAGGTCTCTCCTGAGGGTCAGCAAAGGAGAAGGCCGGCACTAACGCGCCGCTGCCTAGTTACCAGGAGGCCCGGTAGCCATAGTAACCGCAGCTAAGGGGAGATGTGGGATGTAGATACTTGGAACAGCCCCTACTCCCAGCCAGCTTTGCTTTGTGTCTGCTGTGCCGTCTCCCACGTTAGAAGGGACAGGCTTTCCCAGGGAACAAAGGCAACCTCCCCTTCCGTGGCCCTCTGTGTACAGCCCGCGCCTGGCTGCCGGCCACGAGGGGCCAGGCACCTGTCCGATGCTGCCGTCACCTGGGCTGCCTACAGCCGAGCAGCGCTGTTGTCTGAGCTGCCCTGGGGCCCTGAGCACGGTAGGCGCTGGGCACCTGCTGGCTTATGCTGGTGTGGAGCCCAGGTACTGGGGACTGAAGCCTTCCTCACCTCCTCTCTCCGGGAGTGACAGGGTGAGGGAGAAATGTTCCATCTTCTGTCCCAGAAGTGAGTGGCCAGAGAGGCCTGTGCTCAGCTGCCGTCTGACAGCCTGCTCTTCTCAAAGGCCCACATCACCTGCTCTGTCCGTGAAAGGGTACGCAAGGAGGCTCCCTTCTCTCAGGATCCTGGGGTACCTTTATATTATTTGCATAGGTCTTTAAATTAATTTTAATTCAATAAATTTTTTCCCAAAAACCATAAAGCAGAGTTCTCAAGCCTTATATTCCTGACCATTGATTTTAAGTGACCACATAGTTGGGCTGAGTGGTGGGTCATTTTTTTAAATTGAACCCAGCAGAACTGGGCCTTTCTGGAAGTAGCGGTGGGTGAGTTGGTGGCCCGTCACCCTGGCTTGTGCGCTGGTAGAAGCGGCATGTGGTGCTGGGCTGGCTTCGCTGCTTCCTGAGTCACTGGGCAGATCCCTGGGCTCCTGAGCTGCTGGGACCAGATTTCCTCCACGGGGCGCCTGAATCCTGGCCACACAGACATGATTACCTAGGCCGTGGGCCTGCTCCAGCTCAGCCCAGAGCGCCCATGTGGGCCAGAGTGGGTTTGAACCTCAGCCCTTTGAGGGCCGTGAGTCGGCACCCCCTACGCACTGCGTCTTTGTGCATCAAGTCCTGTCTCTCCTGACGATGAGGGCCGACTGGTGCCAGCAGAGCAGTTCTTCCCTGTGTCCAGGAGATGCCACCTGACTGTTGTTCCTCGGTGGCTCACTTCGTACAAGCTGCCTCTGCCCCAGTCAGGTAGCCCACCTGGGTGAAGTCAATGGGACACAGCCCTCTCAGGGCAGGTGACACACACCGCACACATGCTCTCTAAGGTCATGCCCACCTTCATCTTTCACCATTGTTGCCAAGGTAAATACCTCCATTCAGGAGTTTCCTGAGGTCGTGAGGTGGGGATGGGTGTTTGCACCACGTTGCAGGGGCCTGGCCTCAGCTGCCCACGTCTCGGTCTGAGGGAAGGACACGGACTGGGTTCGAGGTGCCCTGGCTGAGGCCCCGTAACCGGGCACCCGGGTAAGTGCCTGCTCCCCAGGAACCGGGGCCTTTTCTCGTGATGCGTGCCCACTGATGACTCAGGCAGGGGTGTTTGCAGGGGCCTGTGTTCCCCAAAATGTAATAAAGCCCAAGTTTTCTTTTAATTTTCAGGTGAAAGTGGGAGACATGTTAGATCTTCTCCTTGGAGAGGATAAGGAAGCAGAAACGGAGACAGTGATGCGGATTCTCCTAAAAAGCGTGTCTGAGGAGAAAACTGAAAGCGAGAAATACCGCGTGGTGTTACGACGGTGGAAAAAGTTAAAGTTGCCTAAAAAGAGTGTGTCTAAATAAATGGATTGCTGTAAAAATAAAAGCAGCTCAGCAATAAAACTGCTTTCTCGTGGTGGGAGACGGGCTAGCTTAAAAAGAGAACATTTTTATTAAAGTTCTCTTACCATTGGTGGCACTGCGAGCTGTTCTGTGGGGATTGGGACCCACGTCGTGGGAGGAGCGGCCGCGGCCTGGACTGCCTTCCCGGGCTCCCGCCGTGCACGCCTCGGGCTCCTGAGCTCCAGCGGGTGCCAATGCGCTCGGCCCGCGCGGGCTCTCGTGGCCGGCCTGCTGTTCCCCGCGCTACCCACCTTGGGGGTCAGCGTGAAACAGATGGGCCTGTTTGTGCTTTTCATTTTTATCCCTGCTGACCAGCCTTCTTGGGCTCAGGCCTCCCATGGTAAAACCAGGCCAAGGCAAGGTCACCCTCCCTATCCTTAGGGGAGAAGCGCTGGGGGGCCCTTGCTGGTGGCCAACCTGACGGCCTTCGTTCCCTTCAGCTTGTCGTCAGAGGTCTGGATGAGTGACGTTGATCAGCTCATTCCAAACGGGCAGGTTGGGGCCCATTTAAAATGAGTTGTTCAGGGCAGGGGTTGATAACTAAGGCAGCCAGAGGCCTTCCAAATGGCACTCAAGAATGCTTTTTACATTTTAAAAGAGTTGTTTTAAAAGAGTATATGACAGAGACTTTGTATGCCCACAAAACCTGAAATATTTACCATCTGACTCTTAACAGAAAAAGTGTGATGACCCCCACCCCTTGTTTAGGATTATAAACTGAGGGCTTAATTTTCAGGTGGAAGTAGAAAATACACAGATTTCATCAGTTAAGAGAGTAAAGAATTAAAGAATTAGAGACCAAGTGTTAATTGTCCAGAAAGTCTTATAAAAGGGACGAAGCCCAAGAAGCGGAGTAGTGTTCCAAGGGCACACAGTGGTGTGCATCACCCAAGAAGAGGTGCCTGGGTGTCTGGGTCCTACTTGCTCTCCAGAAATTCCTGGGAATTCAGATTAACCAACTGAAGGGAAACTTGCGTAGCTCACAGCAGCGGGATTTGGGGCCCCTGTCTGGAAGTCTCTTACCAGCTCCAATTTCAGAAGATTAAGGAAAAATTATTTTTATTGGACAACTCAGATAAGCTCTCAGAAGAATGATATATATACTGTACAGTGTAACAGGGAATTTTTTTATTTAATTGGGCTTCAATGAGTCATCAGTAAAAATAGCATGTGTAATGACATGAGGAAGTGTGAACTGATACTGAGGAGATGATGTTAGTGTCCACAGTCGTCTCCTTCACCTCCAGCTCTGTCCCTCCCCCTTTCTTCCTTCTCTCTGGGAGTGACAGAAAACCTAAGAGGCCCTGGGAGGTGCGGGGCAGCCTGGTCTAGGTGTGCCGGGGTCCCGGGCTGTGGTCTGGCCTCGACCTCTCTGAGCTTCAGCCTCCGCACTGGGCAGATGCGGATCAGGACACCGAGCGCCTTACCTGTTTGCGTCTTGAGAGGAGGAAGCAAATGAGAATGTGTCGTACACGTTAAGATGAGGTGAGGGTGGCTAGACAGCAGGAAGGGCTGTTTGAAAGGCTTTTGGAGCTCTTGGTAGCTGGTACCTCAGCTTAGCTGCTTGGCAGGGGTTGACCCTCTCCACACTTGTTTCCACGAATCAGTCTAAGAGAAGAACACCTGATAATGGAGACTGCAGGTTGGGTCAGACACGTGGCAGAAACTAATCTCTGCCAAAGTTGTCTCTACAGTGCGGGCTTGGCACGTGCCTGTGGAACGGAAGCAGAAACAAAAGTGATTCATGAGAAGGTTCGGAGCTCTTGCAGGTCACTCATTACTTGCCCCAGTTGACGGCTGCTTTTTAATGCCGTTCAGGCAAGGCTTCCTCTGTGAAAATGTGACCTACTTGATGGAAAGATTAAGGAAAAGATTCGTGTGTTTCTAATCAGTGGTTCTCAGCCGGGGTGATTTTGCCCTCCTGGGGACTTTTGACAATGTCTGGAGATATTTCGGGTTGTCACGACTAGGAAGGTGGTGTGGCTGTTGAGTGGGCAGGGACAGCGGGGCCGACACACCTGCACGGTGCAGAGCAGCCCCGCAGAGATCCCCACCCAGAAGCAGCCATGGTGAGGTTGACACCTGCGCTACTGGGTCACAAGGACTAGTTTTTTTTTAAGTTAGGGCAGAGGCCCGTCTGGCCCCTTTACCAGTAGTGATGGCTGATGCTTTCAAATAGCTTTCCTCTAGGAAACACGATTCTTCATGCACCCCTCTGCCAAATGGCCTTCACTCTCTTTGCTGGAGAAATACAGGCAGTGGTTTCACTATCCTTTTAGCCCCTGGAGGATAACGCACGCCCCGGTTTGTCAGCAGTGATCAGGGACACGCACAGGGACCGCCGTTTCCCAAGGGACTGGAAAGAAAGCAGATTCCAGTCGGGGTGGTGGTGTACATCCAGGAGCCTTCTTAGAGGTGGGCAGGGAACATCGGACTAGGGAAGTGCCAACTTAGCTTGGCCACGTGTATTCTGGCTTTCAGAACGTTCCCGTCAGAATTCCCAGTCAACGCGCCGATGATCTCAAGGGCGCAGAGAAGGAAATGACAACCTCCGCTGAGCAGCTGCAGCAGAGCACGGCGTGTGCAACAGCTCTCAACCACGCAGGCGGCGTGACACGAGCCACGGTGGGAGCATTCTCACCTCGGAAATCAGCGAACGCCAGGAATCAAGCTTATTTCCCCTCAGAGAGCCAGTTGTTCAAGATATGCCAACACGCCACTGGGTGTCCTGGGGACGCGCACTGCCCGCGCCTCTCACAGGGAACGCCCTGGCACCCGCCCCCAGCCTTAGTTATTTTTCTCCTCTTGTTCTCACCTATCTCTATGTGCCCCTCCCTCCGTCACCAGCCATCCTGGCCGCTCAGGGCGCATTCTGTGAGATGCGCCTGGCTGTTCTGTGCTCTTGTATTTTAAAGTTCATAAATGGCACTGCTATATGTTTCCTTTTGTGTCTTTTTTCACTCTGGGGGCCTTTAAGGTCTGCCCAGGGTGCTGTACGCACATCCAAGCTGCTGCTTCTCACTATTGCATAACGAACACCCCAGTGCACCCACCGCGTTCTGCTTATCGGCTCTGCTGGCGACCTTCAGCCAGGCTCCACCCGGCTCCGCTCAGCACAAGCAGCGCGGTGCTTGCCTACTGGCCAGAAATGCTGCCCCAGGCCCCTGGCATGACCCAGCTTTCTGATTTTTTGCTTGTCTAATACAGGTGTAAAGAGATGTAATCACTTCTAACATGCACTTTCTGAAACCCCTGGTCCTGCCCGCCCCCAGCCCTCACAACCTGCTGCTCCCGCCTCATCTACTGCCTGGGGTTTCTGAGGGCTCTGCAGCTTTCTTCTCAAAGAGGCTTGCTGGCCCGCTTTTGTTTTAGGTTTTTTGTTCATCGTCGCATGGTTAACAGACCAGGTTTATCAAAAGCAGAATGGTGAAAATCTATCATTCGGCAAGGTCTTGAGGCCACTGGTTACTCACAAAGCACTTCTTGATTCCTTTGTAGAAAAAATGCCAGCTGCCCCCAGTGGTCCTTCTGATCTGGGACTTCATTCTCACAGCTGCTGAGGCCTTTCCCAAGGCAGACAAGGGAAGTCCAAAAACTGCAGTTAAGGAAGAAAAACAGCAAGTGTCTAAAACGGGCAATTTCTGTTTAGCAGTTTGGACTAGTAATGCCCATTTCCGAAGCCCCACTCAGGGGGCTTAGTAGATGTTCCCCGCAGAATGCAGAGAGAATTTCCTCTAGGACTGCGGCAGAAATCCCTGAACTCTTGATTCCGAGACAGATAAATCAAAGGTGAGGCTGAAATAGTAGCAGCCAATTCTTTGGATTCAAGCGCCACCATCAGTACCGAGCCTGAGGAGAAGGCACCCCTCGCATGGGCCACCCTGCCTGGAACTGGGCCTGTGCTTAGAGCTCAGCTCGTCAAAACCAAGGAGGACGTGGGTCAGAAACAGTAGGAACGGAACAGCAGAAAGACCAGGGCTGTTGCGTTCTGCAGCCGGCATTCACGGCTCCGTGGCGACCGCTTCAGTGTGTGAGAAACAGGAGAGCCGGGCACCTGCCAACGTGCAGGCGTATCTCCTGCCAGAGGCAGAGCCCAGCCCTGCTGGCCTGCAGTGCGGGGAGGAGCCGTGTTCTGGGTCTGCTTATCCGCACCGCATCTTGACATTCAGTTTCAGGCCAGAGATGTCTGATTTTGTGCTCTTTGCCACCAGAACCTTCTCTAAGCACAAAAGGTTTCTTCACCACCAACTAATAAGGTTGGGACTTGTCAGCATCGCGCAGCAGTGCCCAGGAGACAGCAGGCTTTGCAGATACTTTTGCTGCGTGGATGCACTTCCTTGAGAGACAGGTGATTCTTACTGGAGTCCTTGTTCCGCACCCTGTGGCACTGGAAGGCTTCCTGGGACACTCTCTCCCTGGGGTGGACCCGAAGCTCAGGGACTGTGGACTATAAAGCCCCAAATTAATGGCAGGAGACCACCAAGCCGAGACAGAGAAATCATTTCACATGGCTATGCAAGTGACGGAAGTCAAGAACACACGAGAGGCGGCCTGGCCACCACCAAAGGGCCCCTGCTCTGCCAGCCTGGTGACTTTGACTGTTACCCGACTCTGGGAAGCACCCCCATCTATAAAAGGCGGGGGAGAGCTAAAACTATCAGCCCCACAGGGGTTCTGTGAGGAGTAAACGATCACGTTTATCAGGTCCCTAGCATGTTCCTGACCCATTACAGGAGCCCAGAAAATAGGAGCTCTTCCAGAAAACAGAATTCCCTGCCCTTCAGGACACAGCTTCACGTTGCAGGAGCTTCTGGAGGAGCTGGGCCTGTGCTCTCAACCGCTTCAAGGACGCCGTTCACCATCTGGACCACAAACTCTATTTAGAAGAACAAATGACGTCTTACTCGTTAAACTCAACAAACTCATTCCCTGTGCAGAAACGCTCCAGCAAAAGCCAGCGCACTTGGCAAGCACCCCTCAGCTCTGAGGCTGAAGCATCGACACCTGCTTCTTCCCTCTGACCAAAAGCTAAGATCCAGTTTACCACTAGTTAAGGAGCAGTCAGCTTTATTTGAACACAACAGGAAACAACTATTTTAGCTCAGATCTGTTAACAGGAAGGTGCCAGGCCTCCAGTTTCTATGATACACTCGGGTACCATGTGCAGTTGCCCAGGGCAGTGACTTCTCAGTACCAGATTCAACGGGGGACTCATTAGACATGCGAACTCTCAGGCCCCCCAGACCTACTGGAGCAGACTGAGGGAGCAGAGACTCGGGGGGCTGGCCGGCGATCTGGTCTAAGATGCCCTCTGGGGTCCTACCCAGATCTGCTCTACCAGTGCGCCCACCCCGGAGCTGCTGAGGGCCAGCTAAGCGCTCCCTTTCGGAAGCACTGCGCTTGGCCAAGGGGGACCACCCTCCAGGGGACCTGTCCCCCTTCCCAGGGGAAAACCTCCATGACAACCAGGCCCTCTGCCTCCACCAGGCTAATTCTGCCAAACGATTCATATTCTAGGGCTTCCCAGCGGATGAGCGTGAAGCTGGCCAGTGGCAGAGACCACACGCTCGCCCGCGGAGTACCCCGGCCCTTCCTGCCTCCGCCACACCCCTTCTCCTGAGAGCAGGCTCTCAATCAGTCGCACAAGAACCCCAGTCCCAGGCTCTGCTCCTGGGGAATCTGATCTACAGCAGCTACTCCCACAATCTCAAAAAATTTGCTGTTAGGAAAACATCCTGTCCACAATTGCCAGTCATTTTACCCGGGGCAGCTCTAAAATGAGCACAGCCCTAAGATCACACCAACTAGCACTTAGAGGAGTGACGGATAAAGGACACCACTGACTTGCAAATGTTTTGGGATCTGAATCTTTGTGTATTGTGGCTCAGGGGGTGTTTCAGCTCCTGAGATGGTGCAGTACTGTGGGAAGAGCCAAATCCTGGCACTGCCCATTTGCCAGTGTGTGAACATGGGCAAAAATCCTTGTCTGCTTCCTTACCACCAAGTAGAGATGTATTAGTGCCTAAGACACTGAGTTTTTATCCGAATTAAATAAGATAGAATATACAACCTTCAGGGCCTTAGCTTTCTTGTCTTAACAGGTATAATTCTGGAACTTTCCTCACAGGACTTTATTACACGAGATGCAAGCACGGTCCTCACCAGTGTGCCTGGCACGTGGCATCTACTCAAGAATGTCAGGTGCCATTACAGCGAGCGGGGCAGTGAATGTTCAGTCCTTTCCCTCCACTTGGCCATGGGGTTTTAGATTTATCTAGAAGCTCCCTTAAAGAGCCCACTGCACCTCACCATCCCAGTGAGCATGCTAATTGATTGGTAAACTCACATATATTGAAATTCCCTGTGAGTTTTCTTTTTGGTCTAAAACATACCTATGGCCAGAAGGGGCTTTAAATAACTGAGTAGTCCTTCAATTCGTGCTGGAACTTGCTTGTGGATTTAGCACTTGGGGTTTCAGACCTGACCAGCCCTAACCTGCTGATGAGCCTTACGGCACAGAATTGTCACGACTCACAACTAGGCAAACACTGTGGAAAAGTGTTCCAATCACAAGCCACAACTCACTTTCTACCTTGTGACACTTGGAAGTCACAAGAAACAAAATAATGTTTTTCTTGAGAAACAAAGATAATGTTTCTCTGACAGCTTGAAATATGATTTCTACTATGAAATATTAAAGTTTATGATTTATAATGAGCCGAAGAGGTGAGGAAAAACATGCATCCTTTTGTTATCAGCTAATACGTCAACTTTGAGCAACTACATCCCATCTGATCCAAAGTGAAAAAAAAGGGCGCAGCAGGCTGGCCGGGCCCCTGGCGAGGGGAGGGGAGAGGAGGCCACACAGGCCCCCCGTGGCGGGGCCGGGGCGCAGCGTTCTCAGTCAGGTTCAGCCGTGGCCGACTCAGTCCTGCGAGCTGTACCCCAATACCCAGGGTGGGTGCCTGAGCGTTCACGGGGCAGGCAGGCCTCATGGAAGATCCCCTGGGCGGGCGGGGGTGGGGGGGGAGTGGGGGGCACACGGACGGACAGACAGAGACATGCTCTGACAGACCTATGTCGTGAGCAAATAAGACGTTACAAGACCATACATTTTTCTATTTTTATAACATTTTATGTAACTCATTAAACAGTGCTTGTATAAAAATTCACACAAAGTCGCTAGAGAGCACAGTTTCCAAAAATGTCCTGGGTTTTTGTTACATTCAGTTTTCTAAGGATGCACTCAGATCAATGGTAAAATACAGACATTACGTGGCATTTCATGATCTTTGGTACAACTATTCTCATTATTTTGTCTCCTCACAGTATTAAATCTGATACCCACTTTGTGCAGGGTCTGCTATCACCAGGATGTCAGAAAAACATTAAGGCTGGATCTACACAAGGCAAGTATTTCCAAATGGCCGTGAAGAGCCCCTTGGCCCCCGCCCCCACCTCTTAAGGTCTAGTAACACAGCCAGGCAGGGTGAGAGCTGTGACCTCCAATCAGGGGTCCCAGGCCCCCCTCGCAATCAAGCAGGAAGCAAACATTTGGGGGCAAAGGTGGAAATGGAGGCCATCTGGACAGGAACCCAAGCAGCCTGCCGCGGGGCGGGCAGGCCAGGGACCCCACCGTCCCAGCAGTCCCTCCTTCACCGCTACGTAGATCCCGTTGGCTGTTCATGATCGCTGCTGATGGGGTACCCCCTCCCCCCAAACTTAAAAAGAAAGGATGGTTTGGGGCCAACACTGAACGGGGAGGGCATGCTAGCGCCCTGGACATTAGACAAGACTTTAGACTTTATTCCCTGTCAAACATTGGCTGCCATGGAGACAGTCAAAGTGACCTGAAGCAGGCTCAGAACACCCAGCACACTCACGACCACCTCACTCATTCTTTCACACCCTGCTCACAGGGAAAATGGGGCCGTTACCACCTACGTGACTTGCTATTTTACTGAACATCAAAATGTGTCTGTGCTAATTCTTTAGTCCTCTGGATACCAGGCCCAAAAAAAAACAAAAACAAAACCCTACAAAAACAAACAAGGAGAAATCAAAGAATTTCCATCGAAAGGAGGAAGGGGTTTGCCCACACATTTAATGGAAAACGTTACATTTTGAAGAAAAAAAGAAGTATTTTGTATTTCTATTGCTTCATGTAAAAAACTGCCCCTGGAGCCCACCTGTATGGCTGGAGAACTGAGGACACCACACAGACAGCCCCGGACCCGCAGGCGTTTCCTGATGAGACAGGCAGAGGGGCAGGAAACAAACCCCAGAGTGTGACCCCCTCTCGTCACTGGAAGGGACTCTTAAGATTTGAGGGGGAGAAGCCCTGCACGGGAAAGGTACTAAGGAAACCACCAGAATATGGTTTCTAAAAGCTGAACATGCTCGAGGCTATAAGGAGACACATTTTATTCCTTGAACCTGATTTTCTCTAACATGGGTAGACAGGCTTTTTAAAATTATTATTAACAAATGATTGTGCTTCTGAACTCGCGGGGTCACATTCCACCCTCTAGAAAGCAGGGCAATTGTCACATGGCTTGGAATCCTCTTGGATATATCCTAGAAAACCAGAACAAACTCCACGGCACCCTCCAACCAGCAGGGCCGGTGGGCGAAAGCGCCTCCGCCATCTTTGGGAAGGGCATGTGCGCACGCACACATTGGAGAGACTAAGGCATAGTGAAAGGCCCGGGGTGTGGGTGTGGGGGGGGGCAGCCCTGGCTACTTCAGTCCCTTATTTTTTCCAGGCGCAAAGAGGATGAGCTTATTGTGCATGAAGGTCCCCTTCATCTCACTTAGGTGTTTTAGTAAGAAGAGTGTGTGTACATGGGTGGGTGGGTGTGGGTGTGAAAGTCCCTGTGCGTTTCTACATTTCAATAATTTAGGTCTGCAGTTTCAAGAGAAATAATCTGTAAATGACACTTAAAAGCAAATACTAAAGTTCAATCAGCAACTTTACGCTGCTCAAAATCCTGTCACATCAGAAAACTATGTCTGCTCGGTGCAGGCAAAATTATGTCTTACAGCCAGGGGAACGGAGGTCCTCATAAGCTGTATGAAGAAAATTCACAGATTGTTTCTATTCTTTCTGCATTTTAAGATGACAAAATATTAAGCCATTAGGTTATTCAGTCTGTAACTACCCTGTAGGATTCCATTTGTTTCCCAGGTTTCTGTCGTGATGCAGTTGGTGTGGGTTAGCTGTTTCCTTTCCCCCTTAGGCATGTAGACCCCAAAATCAGGTAAGTAAGAGTACTACTTTTCAGCATTGTACCTGGAGAATTTCCTGGCTGGAAGTCCTGGGGAGCAATGCCCCTGGCCTGAAGACATCTGACCTTCCCAACCAGTGCGGGAAGCAGAGCTGTCTCACCCGAGGCCAAGGGACTGGCCAGCGGTCCTTCCGGAGGACCTTAGGGGCAGCTCTGAGTGGACCCTCGGAGGGGACATGGCAGCCCCACCTGAGATGATCTGTGTCCTTCCAGGGCCAGGTACCCCCAGGAGGACCTTCGGCCTGGGCCCACACTGAGGAACAAGGTTGTGCTACAAATCGGGGGAGCTCACACTAGGGTGTGGTGAAGCCACCACGCAGCTCCAAGAACCCGGTGTTATATACAGACACACACACACGAGAAAGTGAACAGTTCTTGGTGAGCCCTAAGGGGCCCATCCTTAAACCAAACAAGAAGCCCAGTAGTCCCCTCCCCTACACAATGCTGTCCAAGGAACTGTGTCTGCGCCCCCAGCAGCGTCCTCGTGGGGAGGGGGCAGTGGGAGGACACAGCTCAAATGCAGACACTGTGCCCGTGCTTCTACGTTCTACCTACATTCGTGTCATCGTCATCCAGTGTTCTCGTCTGCAGAGCAAGCCCAACGTTCTGCCAGGCCAGCGCAGGTCTCCCAACCCGCCGGCTCCACAGGGGCGACGGGGCCACACACTCTCCCCGCCCCGTCGAAGGAGCTTCCTGACCTTCTGACCTTCCCATATCAGATGCAAAAGACAAGGTTAGTAAAATTGGTCTCTATGCCTCCCGAAGCTCCTGGCCTTCATGCACAAACCTGGCACTTATAAAGATTTCATAATTCTGAAACCATCTTAAAAAAAAAAAAAAATCCCAGCAACTGACGTCATCTTACAGTACTTCATCTCAATTATTTAAAAGACTTTTTTTCCCTAAGTAAAATGGCCTCCAAAGGGCCCAGTGATTTTTTTTTAAAAGGGTTTCTTTATAATTAAAAAAGTTTTTGATAAAAAAGACTGGTAAGAATGGAAGATGTAAAAGGTGGGAGGAGGAACAAGGTAGTCGACTATGCCTTCCGCACTGCGCGGACGGACGGGACACGGCCAGGGGACCGGGCCCCACCCCGGGGCCCCACCCCGGGGCCCCACCCCGCGGCCGGCCTGCCCGCCTGCCTGCCTGCCTGCCGGCTCCGCGGGGCCCTGGTGGTCCAAGCAAGGCCGCTCCGCCCGCCCCCCTGCGCTGCACGTCCGCCCGCTGTGGGGGCCACCGGCCGTCACTTCTCCACCTTCTTGGCCTTCTTGAGGATGTCGCACTTCTTCCTGTTGGGGCGGCGGCAGCGCTCGTCGATGCTGGGGATGCACTCGTAGTGCCACACCTCCTCCATCTTCTCCACCGGGTACACGGCCTCCACGTAGTGCCGGATGAGCCGCAGTCGCGTGGGGTCCAGCTGCTTCTTGTTGCAGGCCCCGGAGTGGTTGTACTGCAGCCGGAGGTTCTCGGCCGTGAAGAGCTCGGGGAAGAGGCGCACGAGCAGCCGGGCGGCGAAGTTGCCCACCGACAGGCTCTGCTGCACGATCTCGCGCACCTCCTTGTCCGACAGCAGGTGCTGCGCGGGCGCCGGGAAGTCGGGCGGCGGCACCACCAGCTCGTCCAGCGGGATCTTGCAGAAGTCCTTGCTGCTCCTCTCGGGCGGCAGCGGCGGCCCTTCGAATTCCTCCCGGAACCTCTCGGGATTGACTGGGTAGCTCGCCAGGTCCCTGCTCTCGGGGCCCGGGCCGTGGCCCCGGCGCTGCTGCTGGTAGGAGCGCCTCTGCTCGGTGTCGCGGCGCCGGCAGCGCTCGTCCAGTTTGCCCACGAACTCCAGTGTCCAGACGCGGTCGTTCTTGGCGCGGGGGTAGAGCAGCTGCACGTAGTGGCGGATGAGCTTGATGCGCGCGGGGTCCAGCTGCTTCTTGCCCAGCGAGCCGCTGCAGTTGTACTGTTTGCGCAGGTTCTCGTGCGTGAAGAGCTCGGGGAACAGATGCACCAGCAGGCGCGACGCGAAGTTGCCGATGGACAGGCTGCTCTCGTAGATGCCACGCAGCTGCTCCCTGCTGAGCAGGCAGTCGGCGCCTGGCACCTCGAAGTCGGGCTGCGGGATCTGCAGCTTGTCGAAGTCGATGGGCACCAGCCAGATCTTCTTGGACCGCCGGCCGGGCCGCTCGCCCTCCAGGCCGTCCTCCACCTTGACCACGGAGACGTCGTCGGGCAGGCTGGACGAGTCGTAGCAGTCGTCGCGTGGGGGCTCGCCCTCGCTGCCCGCGTCCGGCCCCAGGCCCTCCAGCTCGTCGTCGATGCGCTGCGCGCACTGCTGCAGCCAGGCCTCCTCCTCCTGCATGTCGGGGAAGTAGATCTCCGTGTAGTTGCGGATGATCTGCAGCCGCTGCGGGTCCAGCTCTTGCCGGCCGCCATCCCCGTAGCAGCTGAACTGCTCGCCCAGCTTCCGGCGGTCGAAGAGCTCGGGGAAGAGGCGGCGGAGCAGGAAGATGGCGAACTCGCCGGGCGAGGAGGCCTCGTCCAGGAACTCGGTGAGGTCGCGCGCGTCCACCGCGGGGTCGGAGGCGACGGTGCTGCTGCGGTCCAGGGACAGGGCCTCCTCCGGGTCCTTGCCATCCAGGAAGTGGGCGGTGTCCGCCGGCTCTGCCTCAAAGAAGCCGGCCCCTGGGCCGCCAGGCTGGCCGTCCTCCATCTCGCGCTGCGCCCAGAAGCGGCTGAAGAAGTCATTGAGCTGCGGCACGCACTCGGCCTGCCACACGGCCAGGTCCCGCACGGCGGGGTAGTACACCTCCACGTAGTCGCGCACGAGCTGCAGCTGCAGCGACTCCAGCCGCCGCTTGGCCGCGAAGCCGCAGGCGCTGCAGCCGCGGGCGAAGTCCACGTCGCTGAAGAGCTCGGGGAAGAGCTGCACCAGCACGCGGCAGGCCAGGTCGCCGCCCGACAGGCTCTGGTCCGCGATCTGCTTGAGCTCGGCCGCCGTGAGCTGGTACTCGGGCGGGGGCTGGAACCTGGCCACCGTCTCGGCGGGGCTCACCTGCTTCTTGATGCGGCTCACCTCCAGCGAGAGCAGGTCCACCTTGCTGTGCAGCTGCGACATGTTGGAGGAGAGCGTGTTGAGCATGTAGAACATCTTCTGGATCAGGAAGTAGATGTTGGGGTCACCGTCAGCGGCAGCGGGGGCACTGCCGCAGTCCCGCTTCTGGGGCTCGTTCAGGAGCCGCAGCGGCGAGGGGCTGTGGCTGGGGATCGCCTTCTCCAGGGGCTCGTAGGTGCTCAGCACATCCCCGGAGGGAGGGTTCTTCTTCTCCAGGATCTTGTGCGAGATGCCGTACAGAGGCTTCTTGTAGGAGGGGGTGCTCACGTCGCTGCAGGGCCCCTCCTCCGCCGGCCACGCGGAGCCCAGGCCCCTGCCCCTGCCCGCCTGCTCCCCGTTGCCCTGGCAGGGCGAGCTGTTCTCCCGGTTCCGCATGCCTGCGAGGAGCGCCTGAAAGACAAAAGGCATGTTGGTGGGTGTATTGATGTACTGTGCTGGACATGGGTCTGTGTGTGTGTGTGTGTGTGTGTGTGTGTGTGTGTGTGTGTGTGTGTGTGTGTGTGTGTGTGTGTGTGTCTCTCTCTCTCTCTCTCTCTCACACACACACACACACACACACACACACACACACACACGGAGGGGCCAAGGTCAACCTCAGGATCATGGGAGCAGCAGCTTCCCTCACCCTAGAGCCACTCTCCAGAGCAGGAAGGCACCCGGGCGCCTATTTCCTGAGAGCCTCAGGCTGGACCCAGGAGGTCTCAACTTCCCGCCCACAGAGCCCGACAGAACACGGAGCACAGACGTCAGCAGGGTGGGCTAAGAACACTGCTGGGGGTGGGAGAGACCACAGGAGCTTCTGGACAGGCCCCGCCCCTGGCAGGTCACCTCACTGGCCCAGGCCTGCCCATGCCAGCTCCGGAAGGTGGTGAGGAGCCCTCGGGTCTGCAGCCTCTAGCAGAGCAGGGGTCTGCATGCTGGACAGCTCCTGAGAGGCACAGCGGGAAACAGAACCTGGGGACTAGACAGCAACAGCCTGGCTGAGCCTGCCGCAGCCCAGAGGCACTTCTCGTCTCGGGGGGCACCGGTGGGGGAAGCAACCCCGAACACTCCCCGAGCCCATGTGACTGTGGATTTCCTGAAGCGATGGGGCCGTCCACGTCTCTAAGTCTCGATCTCCTTCCTTACTGGTCCCGAAGCTCTTCCCAACCGGAATCCCAGGAGACAGTCAAGCCCGGCTCTCCTAAGCGCCCACTGTACAATAACAGGGCCCCTCCTGTGCACCAAGAAGGGTGCTTGCTCTCTCTCATCCAGCCTTGCTCAACAGAGGGCCGCGAGGGAACTGCGCCCTACCAAAGTGACCCCAGCTCGCCCACGGATGGCACCTTCTTGCTGGACTCCCAGGGCAAGCTCAAGTTACTCTTCAGACACCCAAAAGCTTGAGCCCAAGTTCCTCCACTGGCCAGCTGTCGAGTCTCCTACTGCCAGGCATGGGCCATTTTAAGGGGCTTATTTGTCAAACCAAGTGATTTGACACAGGTTCAAAGGCAATTCAGTGGAGAAAGGATTATCTTGTCAATAAAGGAGAAAGGATTATCTTTTCAACAATTGGATATACACATGCAAAAAAATAATAAAACTTTTATCCTACGTGTTAGCATATAAAAAACTCAAAATAGACTGTGGGTGTAAATGTAAAATCTAACAAAGTTCTAACCCTTCTAGAAGAAAACGTTAGAGAAGTCCTCTAGGACCTTGGTTTAGACAAGTACTTCTTAGATACAACACCACAAGCATGACCCATAAGGGAACAAATTAATATATTGGACTCCATCAAAATTTGAAACTTCTGCTTTTCAAAAGACACTGTTGAAAGAATGAAAAAGGAATTCAAATCCAGAATACATAAATAACCCTCAAACTCAATAATGACATATAACCTAATGATTTCAATAAACACTTCAAAGATGATACATAAATGTCAAGCCCATAGAGAGATGCTCATTAGTAACATGCCAATTCAAGCCACACTGAGATACCACATCACCTGCCTGGAACTGGGTATTACCAAGTGCTGAAGGTGATGTGTGGGGATTGGGGCTCTCAAACCCTGCTGGGGGGGACAAAATGGTATAAGCACTGTGGAAATGGTGGTTTCTAAACAAATTACACATGCACACACCATATGATCCTGGTATTCCATTCCTAGGTACTTATTTACCAAGCAAAGGAGAGCACATGGTCACAAAGACCTGTACGCAAATGTTCGAGGCAGCCGTATTTGTAAAGGCCTCCAAACTGGAAACACCTAAATTTTTATCAGCAAGTATGTAAACAAGCTGTGTTATGCTCATACAATGGAACACTACTCAGCAATAGGACTGATACACACGGTGCCAATGAGTCTCAAAATAATCATGCCATGTGAGAGAGTCAAAGAGCCTGCGCTCCATTCACATAAAATTTTACAGAAGGAAAGCAGGTCAGCAGCCACCTGGGGGAGGGAGGGCGCTGCAAGCCAGCGAGCCCCTGGGGACTTCACAGTAGGGACTGATGCCTGTGTCCACTGCCTTGACTGGGGGGACGGTTTCACCGGTAAATACATATGGCGGAACTTAATTAAATGGTATGTTTTCAATATGTGCCATTCATGGTATTTCAGTTCTAACTTAATAAAGCTGTTTTTAACAAACGTCAAATTTGTCCCCTAAACACTGGATTCTATTTTTGAGGGTTTAATTAAGTGGAAGAGCTACCTGGTGAGCCCTGGTGGGTGTGGAGGGAGCAGGGCTGAAGCACAGCACGGGCTGCTGAGGGTAAGAGTGGGAGCCGGCAGCTGCGGAACAGCCACGCTCGCTCGATACTGCCGCACCCAGGAACCAGGCCGCCAGCCGGGCCCCGCCCAGTCCTTCCAGCACACCACATATGAATCCCCCGGGGACTGGCTCGACTGCACATTCTGACCTGGGATCCGCATTTCTAACGAGCTCCAGGGGCCGTTTGTCCTTGAATAGCCAGCCTGGAGGACAGCGTCTCATCTCAGTTGATCTCAGTTGATCTTATCCAGGCAGATGCAATGTCATTTGCAAGCTTTCAGATAACTAATGCCAGCACAAAACAGTACATGATGTGTTTTTCTCTTGTAACCTACAAAAATGTAGGCAAAGCAGATCTTAAGAGGCCACCAGCTTTATGAACGGCAGGTGAGCAGAATGTAGGCCCAGGGGGAAAACAGGCCATGAAGCCACATAAACATGTGAAACTTTTCTAACCTTCCCACATTACATTTCATTAAATTAATGGATTGCTTCCTGGACCCTCTCTTTTAGATGACAATCTGCCTAATATTAGAGAAAGCTATTTTATTCTCTCAGGGACCTGAAGATAAAGGAAATCTTGTGTTTTAGTTCTCCCATGGAGCTGGCCAATACTTTCTCCAGGGTTTGTCTGAAGGGTCAGAGGCACCGGCTCCCTACGCCCTCATTCCCAGCAACTCCCAAATACAGAGGACCAGGGGCGTGCCGGGGTTGGGGCAGCCTGCCACCTGTCCCCCTCCCTCCGGGGCTTCCTCCCCAAGCAGTGCCATTCTCATCACACGGCAGGGTGGTTCTGTGGCGGCACCACGTCACTCCCGAGTCTACTCCAGGACGTGGCCAAGTGCCTGGGACACAGAAGGGCTCAATGAATGTTTGTCGACCACCTGGAGGTAAAGTGGGGCAAGGTGCGGTGCAGCTCTCAGACATACGCCCGAGAAGAGCTGTTCAGATAGGCACTAGCTTCACGAGTGCCCTGTCTGTAGAGGTTACTGACGAGTGGGTCAAAGCTCAGCTCACGTTGTGCACGTTGTCCTCTGTGTGACCTTAGGCAATCACGGGATCTTCCCGTTTCAGCTCCCTTGTGTGACTCGGGGATGGATAAAGGCTCCTACCTCACAGGGTGGTTCTGAGGACTTAATGAGATAATGCACGTAAGGCGCTGAGCCCCGGCCTGATTCCTCATGATTAATAAATACTGTTACAATATGATTATCACTAGGCAATGCTGTTCCCAAGTCAGAGCAGAGGTAACAAATACAGTGGGCCTTTTATTAAGCTAGTTATCAGGACCACTCTCAGCCAGTGAACCAGAGGAGGCCTTTCCTACAGTCAGGGGACAAGCCACTCAGGGAAGGGCCTCCCTGGACAGCCGTTTGCCCCAAAGGCCGGGGCAGGGGCGGAGCACAGGGTAACTGAGCTGAAGGTGGAGGTCGCACTCCTCATAGCTCTTTTGTCCTGCCAGCAGGAAGAAAGCATAGGATTATGAAGGGGTGCAGGGGAAAGAAGGCTAGTGTCTGTACTCCAGTTCTGACTTAATAAAGCTGTTTTTGAATGTAACTCTGGGGAGAGGAAATCTCGGGGCAAAATACCTAGCTGAAACCGAAATCAGTCAAAGGGAGAAATAAAGTTTAAAACCCGGTTACTGCTTACAAACTGTGGTTGGGGAGCGGGGGGTGGGGGGGCACGTCATCCTCCTGCTCTGGCAGAAGAAAGCGAAAGCCTCCTCCCAACTCCTCGGGTTCATATAAGCCCTTGGTCGCCCAGGTAACTGCCCACTGATATGGAGATGCAGGACTTCTCTCCACCCCTTAGGAACTTGGGAACTAAAGCCAGGCGAGTGATTCTGGGATATTACAATTTTACCCACTCTGACACACCCACACACACCCCAGAAACCCGGAGAAAAAAAGGATGGGCTGAAAATCTTCATCCACAAATGTAGTGTTTGGAACTGTGGGTCATGACCCTTTAGTAAATGATGGAGTTGATGTGGTGCATCGTGACCAGTGTGAGAAGAGGGATGGAGGGAGTAAAAAAGAAAAAAAAAAGGCTGCATGGAAGGAAGAAAATAGAAAATATCAGTGTGCACTGCCAACAGTAAGGAAACTGGGAAAGCTCTGCTTCATTCCTCTGTCTGTACGATCACACACAAACCCATGTCTGCGAGCCGTGTTTGTCTGCAAGGCGGGCTTATGGGTCACTGCTGAAATGCACTGCCCCTACCTGCTAGTGCCTGTAGGCTGTAAACTGGACTTTCAGCAACTTACTCACCATTAAATTCTACTAAACCAAAATAGTTTTGGAGGTCCCAGGGGTCATGAGAGGACCATGAGGTTTTACCAACAGAAATTTGAGTTGTAATGCCGATCATTAAAAAAAAAAGTCATAACTACCTTAGGAGTTAGTTTAGAGAAAGGGTCCTTTCTCTGCAACGTGACCCCACTGATACTCTTGAAATAAGGTTCCGTGCAGAGACACCAGAACTCATGCCACGTGACAAGCACCGGACAAGAGGGCGGTCTGTCCCTGACCCCAGGGAGCATGTGAGCCCGGGGACCGCTCCTGGGTGACCCACCTCGATGCTAACACGCACAGAAGCCACCTGACTCCCCCACATTCCTGCAGCAGGCGGAA